ACTCCCAACCTCGTTTCGATTACCCCCCTACGTCCCGACCTTCGAATCCCGTACGTCCGAGCCGTTTAGATTTGTGCCCAACTGTTTGACGGACGGAACGCACCGCACGCACGGCAGACGACGCAACGCAACGCACGCACGGTCATGCGATTCTACAAGGCTGCGCGTCTGACTTTGTCAGATGAGCTAAAAAAATAAGTCCCACTTTCTAACGTAAAGAAAAGTGACGACTAAAATTCAGTTAACAGCTTTCATTACGTGCGTGTCAGGTGCATGTCACTGGTCGTGCCCACAGGCACTTATTAAAATATAGTTTTTGTGCAAAAAAATAAATAATATATATATATATATATAAATAACTATATATTTATGTGTCAGTGTGCAGCAGCTAGCGTGCGGCAGCCAGCGTGTGTGCAGATGAGCATTTGACGGCATTTTACAGGACATTGTCGGCAATAATAGGTGAAAGAGAGTAGAGAAACATTAAGACTTGGTAGTAAAATAGATTTCGTATTTATTTAGCATTAATATTTTATTGAAACGCTCCAAGTGCCTGTGGTCGGTCCTCACTCCCGCCACGATAACCCCTGCGACATATGAACTTATTGTTATGAGGTCATAAAAACACTGGGCCACTGTACATGCTGCCGCAATCGATTTATTAGATTGTCTGTCGACTGTTATTAGATGTTCGTGTGGCGAATCATGGCGTTTGAGGGAGTTCATGCCCTCGGCTTAATGTTTTGGAATTATCCCCGTCTACGTTCAGGAAGCGGAGCGTATTGTTAAGGATCCCTCATCAAGTTTTAGGCAAAATCCCCTTTACTTGATTTTTAGCTCACCTTGACATCGTCAAGCTGAGCTATTGCATGGATCGCTCGTCCGTCGTACGTCCGTCCCGTCAACATTTCGGCTAACGTCCAACGAATAACTCAGGAACGACGTTTGCCCACATGTTTGAAAATTAGGTATAGTTGTTACTGCTATGCTCCCATGTTAACGTCCTATTTTTGGAGGCACGCCAGTCCGACGTACTTCGATGCCACCGACAATTTTTTGGCAAACAAATGGGAATTGGCATTAGTCAGTTCAGGTTCAATGGATTTTCTCATTTTTGGTATGTGAAATGAATAAGGGCTAGGGCTTTTGATATTTAAAAAAAATTAATGCAAATTTAGGTAGGAGGTTTGGGCAATATAGTAGGCAATTATATGATAGACACAAGCAACATCTTGTGGTGTCAGCACCGGTCTGGTTCGTTTACAAGATTTCCCATTGGACAATATCTTTAATGCAAAAATTGGTATTTCCTCTCCACCCTGCCGATAAAACGTCTATATTTAGAGTAAAGTTTTAGAAAACGCCATCGCCACAAAGCGGGTATTAGCGCCATCTACGCGTCACAAATTGTGATTCATTTTGGTTATAAATTATTGGATATACAGATGGCAATCGTTTCTATAATGTACGTCGGATGGTTGCTCAATAAACTGACTTCTTCTTCCCTCACTCATTTGTGTCCTTTTTTGTGGTGAGCTACAGTGCAACTTTCATTCATTTTCAACTTTATTCGATGGCTAACACTATGTGCCACCTATATGGCTCATTTCTCCAAATAACGTACATGTGAACTTTTAGAGCGTTTTGATTGCCCGCGTACACGTGTAAGTGAGCAGCAGCTGACGTCCACTGATGGACGTCAGAGCACTAGCGATTAAGGGCGGGCAACAGGGCACGTGCCCCGGGCCCCCCACATTTGGGCCCCCCCATTTAGAGTATCCTAAAATTTTACAAAACTGTCGTAATTGTGATCCACAAATTCTTAGCATGTAACGTTGAAGTGATGCGTTTCCCATGCTGTTTCTCTGACTGAATTTGCTGTTCAGCTGAAGGACACTTTCCCTAATACCAAATTGCTCGAGAATCTATCTTTCATTGATGGTCCTCGATATGTAGCAGTGAAAGGTCATTTTTAAAACTCAAGTTGATTAAAAATCACATGAGAACCACGCATGAGCAACAGAGACTGGTAAACCTCAGTATTCTGCGCTATTCGAAAGTGACATTTAAATATTCGTTGAAACACGATGAGATAACTCTCTGAATTTGCAAGCATGAAAGTGGCAGAAAAAATACAGACTATAGGGCCCCCACACAATTGCGTGCCCCGGGCCCCCCACACGCTTAGTCCGGCCCTGCGTCAGAGACATGATACAACCAGAATTTTCATGATATTCACTACGCCAGTGTCATTCAGCATCAACCCTCCTACTCTAACAGCTGTCATCTGCCAGTGATGCTGATAGGGTCTATGTCCCCCAGGGTACTGCCGGAACGTACCCTGGTACTAAATACTACTATCTAATATGGCCGGACCGCTACCTCGCCTACTCTCACTACGAGTCTAGGGAGTCGCCTACGCCTACTCCCTACCCTAACCATATCAGCTAGATAGTTACCAGGGTACGTTCCGGCAGTGATATTTGACCCAATGAGCGCCAGTGAGAGTTGAAATTGCCGCGCAACCGAAAATAGCCCCGTTTCCCTTGTTACACACCTTGCATTTAGGCGCGTGTTTGTTGACACATAGCTTAGTAACGGCTAACCCGACTAACGTCAATATAGGTATTCTAACCCTAGCAATACCATTTCTTGGAGCTGCGTAACGCTCATAGGGTCTATGTACCCAGGGTACTGCGGAACGTACCCTGGGTTACGTCCGGTTATACCGTAACGTACCCTGGTAACTATCTAGCTGATATGGTTAGGGTTAGGGTTAGAGTTAGGGTTAGGGAGTAGGCGTAGGCGACTCCCTAGACTCGTTAGTGGAGTAGGCGAGGTACGGTCCGGCATATTAGATAGTAGTATTTAGTACCAGGGTACGTTCCGGTATCGACCAGTCTTAAATATTATTCATGACCTGGGGTCATCATACGAAAACGAGGCTAAGCTAGGCATTTTGTAAACAATGCTGCTCAGGCAGGCAACGACAGAGGGGGTACACGCACGTACACGCGGGTACACGCATGTACACACGGGGATACACGCACGTACACGCAGGTACACGCACGTACACGCAGGTACACGCACCTACACGTACACGCACGTACACGCACGTACACGCACGTACACCCTGTATAGGTATATACTATATATATAAGTGTAAGTGTGCACAGTGCAGCCGCGTAAGGAATGGCAGCCGCAAGCGTATGTTGCAAATAGGATTTGGATGGAATTTACAGGAAACTGTCAGCAATAATAGGTGAAAGAGAGTATAGAAACATTAAGAATTTGGTATTAAATAGATTTCGTATTTATTTAGCATTATATTTTATTGAAACGCTTCAAGTGCCTGTGGTATTTCAGTAAGTATTTCAGCGTTATATTGGGGGGAAAAGTTTGGTAGAGATGGTGGCCGAAGCAAAAACTTGGTGGCCTCGGGCCTCCGGATCGGCACTAATTTCGAACGCTGTCAATAAAGCTCATAGGGTCTATTTCCCTCAGGATACTGCCGGAACGTACCCTGGGTACGGTCCGGTATACCGGAACATACCCTGGTAACTATCTGATGTGGTTAGGGTTAGGGCGTAGGCGTAGGCGACTCCCTAGACACGTTAGTGGAGTAGGCGAGGTACGGTCCGGCATATTAGATAGCACCAGCAGAGCATATAAATCACGTTGATTTATATGCTCTGGTACCAGGGTACGGTCCGGTATCGTACCCAGGGTACGTTCCGGCAGTACCCTGGGGGACATCTAGACCCTCTCAGCGTCAATAAAGTGTAGTTTATTGATGGAAGAACAGTGATTTTTATTAGCGAGGCGGTGTTTTTGGATATATTTCTGTGTGGCGGCTGAGATTTGAGCGAGGCGGCCGCCTCGCTCGTGTCAATGCAGGGGAAACACTGAATAGAATACTAAGTCCTCCACACGCCAATCCGTAATTCGCTCTCTTTATCATCAACCCAATACTTGAAAAGTATACCTAGATATGTAGTCAATAACTAAAATGCAGATCACAGCGTTGCACTGGTTTTAAACCTGTTTTCGACATCTATAATAATACAATGAACCAAATTGGTTTCCAACAAGAAATTCATAGATATTACAATTTCTATAAATTTCTAAGTTTGGCCAGAGCTGCTACTCAAGCTTTGTTGAACCACCTGGTGGGACCTTGATATATTTTTATGTATTACGGACATGGTAGACAGTCAAATGGTCAAATTTCTGTTTTAAAATAGAATATGATATATAGCTTGCCCATAGCCATCGTATTTGTAAAACCACAATGAGGAAGTATTAAAAATAATGGCAGTCTTCTGGTAGCTGTAAGTACAGACATAGACATGATACAAGAAGTCCCCCAGCCTGGCAAATCACTGCTGATAGGGTCTATGTCCCCCAGGGTACTGCCGGAACGTACCCTGGGTACGGTCCGGTATACCGGAACGTACCCTGGTAACTATCTAATATGCCGGACCGTACCTTGCCTACTCCAAACCGTACCCTGACTTTCAGCCGATGTCGTAATACATATACCGCTTGTCAGCAGGAAACGCGCCGCTTTATTCTCCCGTTCCTTGTTTCCGGTCCGTTCCCGCAAAATATTTGTTTCAGTATTCGTGTAATTATTCTACAAGTGTCAGCGAGTCTATACGTTTCCAACCCATTAAGATAATCATACAAATTTTCCTGTCCCACAACACTTGGAGATCTTCTTGGAACCATCTTTCAAAAATCTCGGGCGAAAATGCGCGAAAATGTCGTAAACATTGCGAAAGGAAAACGCATTCCCGATCAACGTGATATTTGCAAAAGGATTGCGCGCATCAGTGTATTATGTATATAGGTTGAAATTTCTTATTGCATGTTTCACAGTTTCATACTCCAATCCAACTTTATAAAGATATAAATATTGGCGGTCTGTATGTATATTTCAAATTTTGCGACATCAGTAGTGGACGGAGCAGGGACAGTCAGGGTACGGTGGGGAGTAAGCAAGGTACGGTCCGGCATATCAGATAGTTACCAGGGTACGTTCTGGCAGTACCCTGGGGGACATAGACCCTACCAGTACCAGCCAAATCACTGCCATATCTACAAATATATAAGGTTGCCCATGATTTCACCTCATAGAAGACGCAATAAATTATATAAAATGACACTAATGTAAAACTATCATGTTGAATGCTATCACATCTAGCCAGTCTTTACTGTTTTTCGCACGCAAGCACTTCCCCACGCACGTCTCTGTGAGCCCCCACCAGCTAATCTAACCAATCATGTCGCTCTTCTTGAAGATAACATGAGTGGCCTTGTAGCAGGCGAGGCATCCAATCAGAGAGGAGCTTACAACGTACGACAAGGCTGTCCCCGTCAGGTGTACGACGTAGCCCATGAATGCTGACAGCAGGATCTGTGCGAGGAAGTAGGCGGAGTCTAGCACAGCCATGTTGGAGCCGACGCCTCGTGGCTGCTGCTGCTTCTTGTTGCTCGCTCGCGATGCGGGCGTATCACAGAAATAAACCTGCGAGATTCAATATCACAGAAATAAACCTACGAGATTCAATATCACAGAAATACACCTGCAAGATTCAATATCACAGAAATAAACCTGCAAGATTCAATTTAACAGAAATACACCTGCAAGATTCAATATCACAGAAATAAACCTGCAAGATTCAATATCTTTGAACTTTTACCTTGATTACCTTACCTTCAGAACATTTACCTTGATTTTTCATTGATTTTTCAGTTACAGCAGAGTTACTCCGACTAATCAGCGACGAGCCAATGTTGAGTGCGGGGTAGTTCTAAATTCTCTAATCATGGCGGTTTTGTTTACGTTGGAAGTTAAGAAAGTCTGATAAATTGGACAATAGTTGTGACTATTCCAGAAGAGAAGGAACCGCGTGTGGATTTTCAGATTTCCTGATCCCGGACAATTAAAACGGTATCAAGGTCTTTGTGTTCGGTTGTCTGATTGCTGAGATCTAGCCATTTGTATTCGCGACTCGGGTTATAAGTTGTGACAAGTAATTTTTCGCAATGGTCAAAAACAGTGGTTTGCCATCAAGTTTAACGGCTCTAATGTGGAATCGAGGTACAGGGGTGGATTAATTGTTGTGCATTGTTGAAGTGGATACATCTGGCTGTGATATGGTGCAAAAGTTGATAGAATAAGTGTGAATTTCTGTCTGGGGTTGGAGCTGAAATGAAAGGTTACTGTGATCGCCAGCGTGCGGAAGTTAGATCCCCTCTTCTCTTTATATATATAACTTTTTTCTTCTTTTTTTTTCGCCTCAGGTCCCTGTGCTACTTCTAACTAATTGAATTGCTAGTCAAAGATAATACATCATGTATATCATTTGCATAGCAAAATGGATAATTAAAATTAAATACATACACACAAACAACGGAATACAAAATAACTAGTTCATGACACACCTTATACAGGTACAACACCGATTTTCCGGACACTGATGCTCCGGAACCTCTTTTCATCCGGATAAAATGCTTTTGAAAGTATTTGGCGTAGCAGTGTACGTCGCCGTGTCGCCATGTGGGTGCGTCGCCGTGTCGCCATGTGGGCACGTCACCGTGTCGCCATGTGGGTGCATCGCCACGTCGCCGTGTCACCATGTGGGCGCGTCGCCACATTGCCGTGTCACCATGTGGGCGCGTCGCCACATTGCCGTGTCACCATGTGGGCGCGTCAGCACATCGCCGTGTCACCATGTGGGCGCATCGCCACGTCGCCGTGTCACCATGTAGACGCGTCGCCATGTGGGCGCGTCGCCACGTCGCCGTGTCACCATGTGGGCGAGATTTTACCCAGCGCAGCGGGTACCCGCAGCTAGTCTAATATATATTTGAGTTCGTATGTATGTATGTATGTATGTATGTATGTATGTATGTATCTTTCCTATAGGCGGCCAAACCGCCCAAGCGATCTGGATGCAATTTTCACACGGCCATCTGTTATACCCGGGGAGTGTTCGTAGCTGAAAAAAACCTGCCAAACCGTCAAACTCACCGAAAAATCCGTGAAAAACCCCTCAATTCGTCAATCTTCACACATTATCAGCACTGACTGTACAGACTGTCAGTGCTGCCACAGAAAGAAAAATCGATTTCCTCATCTCATCCGGCTGCTGGTATTGTGAAACCGAAACCGGTACTAAAACAGAGCACAACCAGGATATATTTATGTGTCAGTGTGCGCGCAATGGCGGTGGCGTGTGTTTACAGTTGAAACGCTTCAAGACAATATCCAATGGACACAGACCCCACTCGCTGGCCTGTCTCTATCTATACTATATACCCAATTTCGTTTATTCATCCTACGATCTGACAATGGATAGCTGTACGTGGTCAGCTCAACAGTTCGAGACGCCAGCAATCTCTACATATTTCCACCAGACAATAACACGCAAACCATTGATTATCAAGAGGTTTTCAAATGAAAACTGCAACCCATTCGTACATGCTGTTATAATAACTTTTTCTCACTTGCACCATATTACTTTTATGTTCCAGGGGTTCTAAGTTGGGTTCTGCTGTCATATAAATGTCATACGTAACAGTTTTCCCCCATGCTTATTATCTTATTAAACTGATTTCCAAATATTGATATTGTGTGCAATGTTATTGTCGATTTTTACCCAATGTTCCTATTGTGTCCCATTATTAGTAGTATGAATTAGTAGCACGATTTTACCCAGCGCAGCGGGTACCCGCAGCTAGTTGTTTATATAAGAGCCAAATCCGGGTGTACCAGTACTGAAAATTCCAAGATGGTTCGATTTAACACGTGTTAACTATTGCATGAGCTGCTGCTACATGTTTATACAGCCGGCTTTGTTATTCTACTGACACAGACACAACACCCTGGACAACATCCACAGCATTTCCTCGATATTCTGTTAGATCACATCGTAGGTGTTGAATACTTCATTCGAGTAACCAAATTTATTCTGCAATTGATGCAGCTGCAACTTACTAGGGTGTCGATTACGTATAGGACCATGGGAAATTAAACCTAATCACCCACACGTAGGAATAGGCATACGATCGATCATGCTATGGTGCTATCACGCCCACCCGCACGCACGCACGCACACACACACAAATACACAGATATACACGCACACACACATACATGCATCCACGTGCGTACACATGGACGCAAAAGCACGCACTTACGCACGGACACACACACACTTGCAAGCACATACATACATACATACAAGCACGGTACGTACACACGGGCACAAATGCACACCCCGATACAAGAACAAGCGGTGACACAGATGAACACAAGCACGCACGCCCCTGGAGGACCTACTGGATCAGGTATGGCGTACTGAGTTTCGCTATGCAAATTCTCAACCTCAGTTATCACCACGCGTGCAACATTCTCGGCCGTCACGTCACATGATCAGACGAGCGCGCGCCGCTCACCTTGGTCGTAGAGCTCTCTCTCCGGCGTGCCGGCCGCCATGTTTGGGTCGCCGGCGTAGACTATGTGACCGACGAACTCGGTGTAGAACATGTTGTGGCACATGATGGCGGTCCACGTGAGCACGTGCGAGCAGAAGAGACGTCGAAGCACCGTCGGCGTGCGCGCAAAGTTGCTCACGGGCGAATAGAGGGCGCTGGCGGCGGAGGCGATGACGCGGCCCGCGATCGAGCGGCACATCTGCGAGCGGATCCTGTCAAGCCGGAACAGCTTGATGCGGTGGAAGGAGCGCCGCCGCGCCGGGGTCGCAGTGGCGCCACCTGGGAGGAGGGGGTCGGCCGGCGACGCCGCATCGCGCTCCGCATCCGGCGTCACACGACCCTGGTTGCTGTTTGTCTCGTATCCGGACTCCGCGCCTGCGTGCGACGGCGTCGCATCCTCCTCGCTCTCCGTCGCCACTCCCGTGCGCTGCCCGCGGCGCCGCCTGGTGTATGGGCGGTCGTCGGCGACGGCGAGCGTCGCGAGCAGGGTCAGCGCAAAGAGTGCGATGAGGAGAGCGAATGCTGATCGCTCCTGCGTGCCCAGCAGCTCCCCCAGCTGGCTGCCTCGCCAGTCGAGCGCGGTGACGAGGTAGCCGACGCAGCCGCCCGCGCTCAACATGAACGCGTAGATCGTGAAGGCAGTGTCCTGCGCCGCCGTGCCCGTGCACATGTCCGACAGCAACGCCTCACACGGGTTGAACGCCGCCTGCGAGCAGAAGTCGAGCGCGACGACGCCGATGCACAGCAGCAGCAGTCCGACGGCGTGCGCGTGCGCGCCTCCCACCCGCACCCCGATCGACTCCGCGTAGGGGATGAGCAGCAGTGACACGAGCACGCCCGCCGAGATGCCGACGATGAACGGGCGGCGGCGTCCGAACGCGAGCGTGCAGCGGTCGCTCGCCCGTCCGATGTGTGGCACGGCGAACAGCCCCACCAGGGGGCCGAGGCCCATGATGGCCGTCATGAACATGTCGCTGGCGCCCATCTTGAGTAGCATCGGAGGAACGTAAGTGAAGATGGCGCTCGCCGAAAACTCGAGCCCGCACACGACCGCGTTCAGCAGGATGAGGTTGAGCAGTGGTGGCGCCCTCTTCAGAGGCGGCGCGGCGCCGGAGGCAGACATGCTGCGCCTATGACAGATGCAGACGCTCAGTTACCAGGAGTGACAACACAACAACAAGAGACGACTGAGAGTAACAGCTGCTCGCAACACAATTCTCTTCCAGCCCACAAGGTCCTTTATATATATAAGAGGTTCGTGATCTTAAAAACTAAACTAACCAATCTAATAATCAACAAGAGCCGCAGAGCGTCTGGGCTCATCCGAGGTCTGTTGCTACGATTATAAACGTAAAATTTCAGTCGTGCGTAGTACCACATTTGTTAGGCGCAGATATGCAGACACACCCCCTTGCCCCCCCCCGCAGGCTATGGCCCTGGATATACCTGCAAGATTCAATATCACAGAAATAAACCCTCAAGATTCAATATCACAGAAATAAATCTGCGAGATTCAATATCACAGAAATAAACCTGCGAGATTCAATATCACAGAAATAAACCTGCAAGATTCAATATCACAGAAATACACCTGCAAGATTCAATATCACAGAAATAAACCTGCAAGAGTCTGCAAGATTAAATACGTCAGCAAAACCTCATGACGTGAAGCGCGATGTACCTGGCATACTGTTCGGGAAGGTTTGGCGATATACGACAAAAAGAAAAAGCAGAAATATATAGTGGAAAAAAGATGGTTGGACTACAAGGAAGAAGAAAGGGAGATAGGTAGCGAATAAATGGTACAGAAAAAGGACACTGAGAATAAGGTTGGAAGAGGGAGGGGTAGGCTTGCAATGGCAGGATACGGGAAACAATTTATATATTCATGCAGCCATACGAGAAAGGAAGAGATTGCGCAGGTGGACCCAAAGAGTGATGAACAAGTCATCGAGTCAAGAGACATCTCTGCATGCATGGAATAGCCTACCTGCTTGTGTTTATGGTACTCCGTTACTAGTGTCAACGGCAGTGCTGTAAACGTTGCGAAACCGAAGCCTGTCATTGCCGTGACAACGTTGAGTAGCACGATGTGTCGAATGAACACCATCGACAACATGGCTAACGTAAACGAAATTATACCTGTGCAAAGAAACAAGTGACAAGTTTAACGATAACAGCAAATCTAAGCAATCCCAGCAAAACAACTCCTAACAGGAAGAGATATTTCAGTGTCTATTAATGATAATGTGCAAGCAATAACAATATTAGTTCATCAATCCAAGTCCACATAACTTTCTTCCCATGTATTCACCCCTCCATCAATGCAATCACCCATCTATCAATGCAGTACATTCATACAATCCTGCAATTTTTATCAATTGCCCATCCCATCTATCTGGCCATACATCCATTCATCCATGCAATTAATCTATCTATCCATCCATCCATGGGACACAGCACGTCCCATTCCATCACATAAATTCAGTAAACAACAACCTCGTCCATCTATCCACCTGTGTAATCATCGAATGTAATGCATGGTTAATTAACATGATTAACTTATTACCAAAAAGATAGGTGTTACGGATACCAAACTGCGCTATGACTCTCTCCAGTATGGTTGAGTAGGCTGCAGCTGTGATACAGTGGAAGAGCAAGCCCCAGCTTCCCATACGCACGCCTAAAAATTAAAACAAAACATTAATCATAGCCAAGGCTCGACACTAGCGGTGGCCCGGTGGCCCGGGGCCACCAAAACTTGATGTCGGGCCACCAAAATTTCCA